AATTATAGAGAAGACAGAAGCCTTTAAAGGAAAATATAATGGGGAAAATCAAATGAATGACAGTTGAGAGAGCAACTATTAAACACAGATCTAATATTCCCCACATAAGGAAAGCGCTTGATAAATATCCATAACTGGCCAAAGAGGCAGAAATCCTGGGAAATTTGTGACTCGCCTCAATTAATCTTGCAAATGCACCTTGCCATCTTATCAGACGAATTTCCATGCAATTACTATAATCTCAAACATGAGACGTATTACCTGGCTATATATAATATCAATTATAGACATGTACTGGATCTAATCTGATTCAAGCTGATCCATTGCATTAAGTATAACCGTACAGAAAATTACAGGTGTTACTAGCTTTATTGATTCAAATCATTTACACTGCCAAAAAGCTTATGCCATATGAAAACATTAAATATGTCCTCTAATGTCAAAATATTACTGTTTTTTAATGGGCAGAACTAGAGCATCATGGAACAACTAATACATTATTCAACAACTAATATTCATCTGTGTGCAAAGGCAATGGTCTCCCTGTGGAAACAAGGAACAATTTCAGCACTTTCCTGAGGTTAGAAGTCAACCAATGTCAGATACCTAACAATTAACAATGCAGCATTCATTTATGCTATAATTGTAGGGGTTGAATTTCTTACTCACATGTAGTCACATTGGGTAGCAGGCAGAATTGTACACCTGGGCCAGGCACAATCTGGGCCATTAAGTGGCTTCTGTTTCAGTGTCAGGTATCACCCTGTAGTACACTGTAGTCATCTGATGCACAACTTGCATTAAAAATGCAAAATTGGAGACAGTCAACAAAAGTAACCATGTGAATAGTTAAATTTCAGAATAAATAAAACTTGTAGAAATCATAAATTACATCATACAAGTACACGGATAGGAAAGGTTTAGAGGGATATGGGCCAAGCACAGGCAAGTGAGGCTATTTCATGGTTGGCATGGACATGTTTTACGATTATATGCCAACAAAATCTCCAAAGATGTTAATGTACATCAGTGGCTACATTGTCTTACAAGGAACAACAGTGTACCATATGAAAACAGAACACCGCTTTGCTTGCTAGTAAGCCTACAATTTATAATTGCGTTGCACTCTTTAAATGTAGAGTTGTTTTGGTTCCTAATAAGCAGGTCTTTTCGTTTTTGAAAATGGCAAAGATTCTACCTCAAAGGGCTGTGCTGTTGCCTTGTGTTGAGTGAATCTGTCTGAGCAGCCTATTCTAACAGCATTTGAACATACAAATTTAAAGCGTGAGCAACAGCACACCAATAAAATCTCAAACCACAAGATGTAGGAGCAGAATTAGGCCATTCAGCCTAGAGTCTGTTCCACCATTCAATCCTAGCTGATATGTTTCTGAACCCTATTCTCCTGCCTTCTCCCTGTAACCTTAGATTCCTTTACTAATCAATAACCTACCCGTCTTACACTCAATGACTTGGCCTCCAGTGTTCTGTAGCAACGAATCCCACAAATTCATCACCCCCAGCTGAAGAAATTCCTCCTCAGTTCAGTTCTAAAGGGTCATTCCTTCACTTGGAGGCTATGACCTCAGGTCCTAGTCCTTTTTAATATAGTGGAAACATTTCCATGTGCACTCTATCCTGAAACTCTCAGAATGCTGAAAAGTCTGTCAGATCCCACTCCGCCCTCAACCCTTCTAAACCTCTGAGTACAGACTCGGAGTCTTCAATCATTCCTCAGTTGACAATCCCATAATTGCCAGGATTGAACAGGTTTAAGAGACAAGCTCTGGTATCTTATTCAGAAGGCCAGGCTACCTCGAGAAAACCTAAGTGTCACTGCTTCACAAGGGGCACAGGTAACAGTGAAGATTCATTTAGATCAATGTAATTAATGGTAGTTTCACCAGAATTTGGTTATTTCATTGCATTATATACTTGAGAAACTTGCATTATTGTACATTTTAAGGCAGCTTTAAAAACAAATTATCTAGAAGCTAAAACTCCTCTGCAACAGTTCAATTCCATAACTCCCTTTAGACTTTGTATTACATCTTGCATTAGATTAGTTGTCTACCAGAGCTGATAACATTCAGTCTGAGCTATAACTTGCAAAGCTACTTGTGGACAGTACACCCTGAACCAATTTCCTCAGTGGCGACTGATCTGGTTTTCCACTAGACAGAATATAACATCTGTTCAGGAAGGTGAAGATGTGCTTTGACCTCATGCAAAGTGTTTCTTCTTATAAGTAAGCACTGTCTTAAATATCAAGATATTTTTCACCAAGCTTAAAGTTTGTGAAAGCAGTGATATTGGAAAAAGCCAAGAATAAAATGCAGAATTCTTTTCATCTGTCTGTAAGAACGCCATTTTTTAAAATTAAGATTACGAACTGGAAAGACTTCAAATTGAATTTCTAGTTACCTTATGTTGAGGCGCTGCTTCAAGTTCCCAAATGCTACTAATGAGGCAACTTTTCAGTTTAGATCAAATTGATACTCCACAAGGGGGAAGTCTTAAATTTCAAGATTTCCACATTTATGACATGTGAACGTTAAGGCTACTTTTCCTTGACTTTTACAGCTAGCTCCCTAAGTTAACTGCCATCGGTTTCATGACATTCTAAAGAAAATAACTGGTGTTGATAGAAAACATGAAAGAAGCTGTAATTTTTCATTAGCAATTCAAATTAGTTCATTTATTTTGAACTTTGCAAGAAGAGTTATGTTACAGAAAGCAGTCCCACGCAAAGAATCTTAAAGAGCTACTGAAACAGTCAAATCCAATTCACTACTTTAAAGCTTTTTCAGTGATTTTCAACTGAAAAGTTCTATTTGGTACTAATTCTGCTTAATTGCATGTTTTTCTTGTAGCACATAAAACTTTTCAGTTAGCCTGCATACACTGGTCTGGTAGTTACTGCCCACTTTTGGAGTTAACATTATGAACTTGCACATTTGTCCATAACACATTGACTGGAAGGCATTATTAAGCCATACGTGGTAAACTTGACGGCAGTAGCGGGAAGTAATCTCAGGGTCAGTGAGTTGTCCAACACAGAAACAGATCCTTCAGTCCAACCCGTCCATGTCGGCCAGATTTCCTAAATTAATGTAGACCCATTTGCCAGCGTTTAGCCAATATCCTTCCAAACCCTTCCTATTCGTGTACCCATCCAGACGCCTTGAAAGTGTTGCAATTGGACCAGACTCCATCACTTCCTCTGGCAGCGCATTCCAGACAAACACCATCCTCTGCATGAAAACACTGCCCCTCTAGGTCCCTTTTAAATCCTTCCCCTCTCACCTTAAACCTATGCCCTCCAGTTTTGGGCTCTGCAAACCTGGGAAAAAGACCTGGGCTATTCACCTTATCCATGCCCCTCATTTTATAAACCCCTAAAGGTGACACCTCAACCTCCGATGGTCCAGGGAAAATAGCCCCAGCCTAATCAGCCTCTCCTTTTAGGTCAAACCCTCCAATGTCATTGTAAATCTTTTCTGAACCCTTTCAAGTTTAACAACATCTTTCCTATAGCAGGGTGGCCAGAAATGAACACGGTATTCCAAAACTGGCCTAACTAACATCCCGTCCAGCCACAACGTGATATCCCAACTCCTATATTAAGTGCACTGATCAATAAAGGCCAGCATACCAAATGCCTTCTTCACTACTACCTGCAACTCCACTTAAGGAACAATGAACCTGCACCCCAAGATCTCTTTGTCCAACATACACTCCCCAGGATCCTACCATTAAACATATGCATCCCGCCCTGATTTGCCTTACATCTCGCATTTATCTAAATTAGGTCTGCCACTTCTCGGTCCACCTGATCAAGATCCTGTTGTACTCTGAGAAAACCTTCTTCACTGTTCACTACACCACCAATTTTGGTGTCATCTGCAAACAAACTACAAGAAGAAATAAAAGCAAATTTTAAGAAAATTTTATGTTAGAATCTGAGCACTGACTTTGGGTGTAAACATTAATTACTGTTACCACTACATTATCATAGCAAATTGTTTTAGATTTCTCAGATCACAGTTTTTCAAACAATTCCCAAAAGACTTGCCATGGGTTACAATACTCAAACACTTGGAGCAAATTTTACAAAATTTTTCACACCTTTATAAAACTGCCATTGACTAAAGACTCTGGGCTATTGCATTAATAGCACACCTGGGCATAACTCAGTCACAGAAATCCATTTGTACCAATCAACAGCAAATATAGACTTCCATTACTATCACTGTCAGTATCTGGTGCATTTAACTGTAATAAGAAGTCATCCAAAAAACTGGCAGCTATTTATTTTCTACCTTAATTCTTAAGAACTGAAATATTAACTCCTTGATCTATTAGTGTGATTCTATTTTAACTAGATTAATATTTTAAAGAGATAACTATCAATAACAAAACCACAGAACTTCATTTAAGCCAAATATTTCAAACAAGATTAACCAACCAACGGACGCATTTTAATGGCTATGCCTTCTAGGTAGCATTGTTTTCTGCGATCATTCCACAAGTTACGGATTTCTCCGTTTGCGGACGTGTTAACTTAGATATTAGTATTAATCTTACCTTTTCAAGAAATAAAAAAAAAAAAACCAAAGTCTAGGATTTGCTACTTTCCGAATTTCGTATATCGTGAATCAAAGGAATTCCTACATAAAATGCGATATCCTTACACTGATGCAAGGAGAACGAATTTTTAAAAAGGATCAGAGGCGTACTGCTTATTCTCCACAATACTAAAAGCACGCATACACTCACGAAATATACCACCTTGTACGATTCATCCTCCAAAAACGTGAAATTCGCAAGCGTGATACTTACAATTTTGAAGGCATTGTTTACTTACCAATTGTGCTTAAGCGCCGCTTAACATGGCGGCGATCTTTCTACTTACCCGTTGGTCGACATTTTAGGCATGGACTCACCTAGTATGTAGTCCTGTAACTAAATCCGTCTAAAGTCAGTCTGATCATACTTACCCATCAGGAACCGTATTCTTCTTCACCATGACTTAAAGGAGCCGTTGAAAGTCACTGCAGCAAATAGAAAAATCGCGCTGTTAAATGTTTTAACTTCGATTTTGTTCAGTCAACAGGCACCACAGACCAGGCCTCGATCCTTTCACACAAAAATCATCTGTGACTGCGCTTAACCTCCGAAGTTCAATATAGAAGGCTCTTTATAATGTACCAATTCGTATTTTAATTAGCGTAAAATGAGATGAAACCTACCCAAGTTTTTTTTAATATAAAGTCTGAAGTAATATACAATTACTGCTCCTCATCTATCCCTACAACCAACACCCAACCATAGAAATTTCCAGAATACGAAAACACGCATGTGCAATCTGACGCTACAAAATGAGTCCTTAGGTTACGTTATTTGCGCAAGCGCAATGAGTGAGAAATCCGTGCAAGGGTTTTGTTATTTAATGTTTTGTATTATAATTAACGTTAGATAAAATGCATATTTCAGCATGAAAATACGCAGGTCAATTTGTTCAGCTGTAATCCTCTCGTAATCGTGGATGAAAAGGGGTCAAGATACTGGCAACTCAAAACAAAGTGGAACTCTTCTGACGCTTGAATAAGTTAAATTGTATGGAACTTCCGCAGGAGACGGTGAAACCTAATTCATTCAAACGTATATTCTTAGACTGTTTGTTTAGAATTGTGGTATTGGCACAGTATTTGTAACTCGTCGATTTTTTTAAAAATTTAATCTAACCACTGTATTTGTATCTGAATTCCAATGATTTATAACCCGTGGTAATCTATTACAAGCTCAACTATTTAAAGGCAGCCCCATGAAAATCGTATTTGGAAGGATGGGAGAGCTGTTTAAACAGGGCCAACAATACTACAAAAATTTAGGATAATTTTCCGGTAACAAGGAAGTATGTGATGCTGCGGTCTGCAAGGACCTACCAGGAACCGAATGGAGAAAACAGCTGCCTCCAACAGAGATAGTAGGAACTGCCGATGCTGGAGAATCTGAGATAACAAGGTGTAGAGCTGGATGAACACAGCAGGCCAAGCAGCATCAGAGGAGCAGGAAAGCTGACGTTTCGGGTCTAGAGCCTTCTTCTGAAGTTGGAAGTGATCGATAAGATTGCGATGCCAAGATACCTCAGATTTTGTGCTGATGGCTACTTACAAAGGATGTAGAACGCTACTTGCTGTCTCCTGTCATGATGGGCAGATATTGCCCCCAAAGTATTGTAGGTGGAGAAAATAAAAACCGAAAGAGCTGCGGATGCTGTAAATCAGGAACAAAAACAAAGTTGCTGGAAAAGCTCAGCAGGTCTGGCAGCATCTGTGAAGGAAAAAACAGAGTTAACGTTTCGGGTCCGGTGACCCTTCCTCAGAAGGGCCTTGTGGGTGGAGTGTCTCTGGTATGGCATTCTGAGCCCCCAAACCAAGAGGATATCAGCCAAGAACGTATGAACAGTCAGAATATTGTTACAAACAGTGATGGTACTGCAAAGCTATAAGAGAAAATAAAACACAACTGATGTTTTTATGGTCTTTTAGGGAAGAAAATTTGCTGACCTTAAGAGTTATGGTACACATGGCCACGGATAACCTCACAATGCTGCATTTCTCTAGCTTCCACCCTAAATATACTAAAACAACCATCCCCTACCAACAAGCCGTACTCCTATACAGGATCTGTTCGGATGAGGAAGAATAAGACAGACACCTGGAGGTGTTGAAGGACACCCTCAACTCATCAATCACCAATTCAGACGAGCCACAGCGAAAAACCATAATGACCTCCTCAGAAGACAGACACAGGATACGTCCAATAGGGCACCCTTTGTCATCCAGTACTTCCCGGGAGTGGAGAAACTATGCCATGTTCTTTGCAGCCTCCAACACATTATTGATGAAAATGAGCACCTCACCAAGATCTTCCCCACGCCTCCACTTATCGCCTTCAAACAACCGCCAAACCTTTACCAAACCATTGATCGCAGGAAACTACCCAGCCTTCAGGACAACATTGACCACAACACTATACAAGTGGCACCCTCTGCAAGACATCTCAGATCTTTAACATGGACTCTACCATTACACATTGGAACACCACCCGCCATGTGCATGGCAGATACTCATGTGACTCGGCCAACATTGTCTATCTCATATGCTGCAGGCAAGGATGCCCCAAGGCACAATGTATTGGCGAAACCACACAGACGCTACGACAATGGATAAATGGACGCTGCGCAATCGTCACCAGACAGTGATGTTCCCTCTCAGTGGGGGAACACTTCAGTGGTCAAGGACATTTAGCCTCGGTTCTTTGGATAAACGTCCTCCAAGGCAGACTTTGGGATACACAGCAGCACAGAGTTGCTAAGCAGAGGCTGATAGCCATGTTCGGTACCCATGAGGACGGCCTCAACTGGGATCTTGGGTTCATGTCGCACTACAGGTGATCTCACTCTCTCTCACTCTCTCTCACTCTCTCTCACTTGAATCTATGGGGTGAACTTGTATTTGCAGATACGTTCTATTTCGTTCAAAAAGCACACAATTTATAGACAGTCAGTCAATGTGGTGTTTTATAAATTCCAACTTTGGCAATAAAACCAGTCTGACTCCAAACCAAAACACAAACAGATCCTAAACAAGGCCTCACACCTAACATGCATTGTCTGACCTAAAAT